GAAGGAAGGAAGGAAGGAAGGAAGATGTAAGCAAGCAAGCAAGCATTGGTTGGGCTCTGCGACCTATGATCTAGAATATGGATCTTATTATGCTCTTTTTTTAGGGTAAGTTGAAATCTGCACTGGGATATTTCAGACTTGCCTTGGGGGGAGAATTGGGGTGTATATAGATCTGCATCTTCAAATTCTATCTTTGTTCTATGGTATACCTCAGTGACTCCTTTGCCACATGCCAATCTAGAAGAGTTTAGGAGATACATAATATGTGAAACTTTACCTTTATTTATTAAAGTCAAAATGATTTATTCAGCAACAACTTCAAGAGTTTTACAAGAAACAGCAAGAGCAGTTACATCTTCAGCTTTTGCAGCAGCAGCAGCAACAGCAGCAGCAGCAGCAACAACAGCAACAGCAGCAACAACAACAACAGCAACAGCAGCAACAGCAGCAGCAGCAGCAGCACCCAGGAAAGCAAGCAAAAGAGGTAGAGCCTAAATAACTAATCAATAAATTATTTCTGGAAGTGGGGCAGCTGGGGAGGAAAAGAATGAGATATTCTGATCATCTTGGTTTTTGTTTGTTTTTGCAAAGGTCATCTTCATAAGAAGCTGTTGGTATTGAAATAATTCCAAGACAGCTCATGCAGACAATGTTGTGTGTAAACAATGCCCCCTTAGGATATATTCATGTAGAGAATATCTTGGGTGAACTATGCTATCTGTAGATACAGATTTTGCTTCTTAAGGATGATTCCATAATTGAAGAGGTTGGGAAAAATGCTCTGTGCTGTGATTGCAGAAATCACCACCAGGAAGTGACAGCTGTATCCATGGAGATTCTGGTTCATACAAGACATTCTCTGTGCAAAAATGTCCTTGGGGAGCATTGCAAGAAGACAAAACTGACTTCGTGAAATGGCCCATAGAATTGGTAAGATGATCAGACAGATGGCTAGATAGATAGAATAAATATGATCCAATAAATAGTTGGATTACACAGACTGGAGGTTATATAGAATGATTTTATACTGGGCATAATGTTCACATTGAGTACTCTGAATATTCATTCAATAAAATGGTGGATTCTGTGTAATTCTAAATTTCAGTATTTTGAAGTTTAAGGAACTGGCTTATCTGATATAGGATATAATTTTAACAGTTTCTTTTAAATCTTTCTATGGGAATACTACAGTCCTTAGCCCTTTCATCCTGAAGGGCAGTGCTTAAATACATTCACTGAAACCAATAACAATTGAAGCTGAATGCTACAGCTTCTCCTGTTTGTAATTATGGAGGCTGAGGGTTGCCATCCAGTTCTGTTTTCTTTCAGTGTTCACACAGTGGTGAACAAAGTACTGATTAACTGGTATACGTAAGGAAGCTTAAGCTGATGAAAGACTTACCATCTCTTTGTGATTGTAGGAGAGGGTTTAACTCAAATGTATCCCTAATTTAGAAATGGATAATAGTGGCTAGTAGAAAAATGGAAAAAAAACTGGGCATGGATTTTGAAGTCGCAGACCCTGATTAATGAACTGCTCCTGTACATTTGGAGTGGTGAGTAGAAAGTTACAGTTTGATGTGCTCATAAATCAACCTGACAAGCCAGCTTCTCAGGCCTAGCTTGCACCTGTCAGCAAACTGCATCAGCTATAAACATAACACAAACAAAACATGTTGAAGTAGTTAAATTGATCAGCAGGTATCCTAGACATTGTCTTGTAGCTGCCCATTATGCAAACATGCACAATCCAGGTCTGACCTCCCAAGGCATTGTTTCTGTTTGGATTTGTGAATAGAATTTCAGACAGCTATCAACTACCGAATAGAAATTGCTCCCTTATTTCTCCCGAGGCTCTGAGCAATCCACACGACTTGCTCCATTATGCAGTCTGTTTTCCAATGAGCGCATCAGAAGTTTCTCTTCTCCTCCAAACTAAAAAAGGAAAGGTCTTCCACAGCAGCTTGTCTTTCTCTGAAGTGTGACTACATCCTTATATCCTCCTGAGCCTAAAGAACTCTGGCTTGTCTTGTAACGCCTCACAAAATTGGAAGTTAGCACTTTTCCTTATAATAAGATGCTTCTTTACCATGAATATAATGCTGGATTTCTAATGTATTCCAACAAGAGCAGCAAAGGAGCTAACAGGCCAGTAAAATGAAGGCTACATCCCAGTTTACTAATAGATCACTGGAGATTTCCTTTATGGGCCACTGCAGATCATACTTACTCAATTGGAAAAATTAGACTACCTTTGAATTAAAGTTTGGGGTAAAGAATTACACCTTCAGCCAAGATAAATTTATACTAGCTGTCATGAATTGTATCCATTTCTCCTCTAAGTTTGGAAAAGAGGTTGTCTTCTTTCTTCTGACTCTGCTGCAGAGGAATCCTAAAAGAAGATCATTTCTTTCCATTAAAATCTGATTATTTGTAAAGCAAGTTTCCTTTAAAAAAAAGAACAAGCCCTGATTCTATAAATGCTCTTGCTATTTGATCCCTGAAATGAACAAGAGATGTTGACTGAACATTGCCTTCCCCCCCCCCTCTGTTGCATTTGTTCTTGCTTCACAGCAGCAGCAACAGCAGCAGCAGCAGTTGGCAGCCCAGCAGCTTGTCTTCCAGCAGCAGCTCCTCCAGATGCAACAACTTCAACAGCAGCAACATCTGCTGAATCTTCAGCGTCAGGGACTCATTTCCATTCCTCCTGGCCAACCCGCTCTTCCTGTCCAGTCATTGCCACAAGGTATGACAAGACTGATTTCCAGGTCACAGCTTCTTCTGATGGTAGCTTCATCATGAACTCCAACTTGGTATTTCAGGTCTTTCTTTAGTTTGATGGTTTCTTTATTTTAAAATATTTCAAATCCATTTATTTTATTCATGAATCTGTTCATGTGAGCAGGGTTAGGTACTTTTCAAGCATGTAGCTTTTAGAGAAGAATGCTAACTTGGGAGGATTGCATCTTTATGGGCTGAAAATAGTTTATAAGCAGCATCAAGTTTCAAGCCTTGTTGGTTTATTCAGAGATGTGCCACATGTGGCTTTCTAAAACCTTGTGTCGGCTCAAATGATCCTTCCAGAAATCACCACGAAATTGTAATTTTGAATGGGACAGATGGGGAAAAAAATTAAATCCACAGGTATTCATCATTTTAATGGTAGTCAGTAAATATGTATGCCCTCTGGGCAGATAGGTGGTGCTTGTGTGTATAGCTACCTATCTCTACACCCACACATACAGACACACCCATCCAACCACACGTTATTTTAAGTAAATAAAAAATAAATATTTAATTTAGCCTTTGACCTGCCTCTGTCCATGTTTTTGTCCTAGCCTGTCTACCTATCTATCAGGGCAAGCCATGACGTAACATTTCAATGGCCAAGTTGCATAGTTCTCATTTATAGGGAGACATTGCCAAAACTAGATTTCTGTGCACATACCTATTTAATTTAGCATAGCTGCCTTGAAACAGAAAATAAAATTAAATCTTGAAACAATCTGTATTCCATTTAATTAAAAAAAGGGGGGGTGAATCTTCAAAACTAGGGTTAAATTGCCCGAACATTTCTACATTGCTAACTTAAAATAATAGTGACAGTGCCACTGCTGAGTTATTTCAGGCCAGGGATGTGTGAATCTGCCTAAATGTGGCACATGTTAATATAAGTATTACTCAGTTCTACCAATAAAGTTGATATTTTTAAAAAAGCAAAAACCAGAACTTTACTTAGTATAAATATTTAATTATTTGTTTAAAGTTTTAGCTTGTTTTCTATTATTTCCAGGATTGGAAATAGTTTAATACACAATTTTCCATAAATTCACTGTTTTTTCAAAGCAGATGTCACAGCTCAGGCATATGAAATGGAAAGTGATGGGAATAACCAAGTTCTCTAAGAGTCTGTTTTGGCATGTACATTATATTCAATTTTTTTTAACTGAATGCAGATTTCTTTTACATTCCCACTTTTGGCTTAAAATCTCTTTCACCATAAATGGGTTACATTTATGAAAGGAGAGCGCTGCATCTTTCTGTTGTGACATACCTGTTTTCTTTGCCATCAAAAATCAGAGTTATGGCTAATACAGTGTTTCCCCTGCACAATTGCACTTCTCTGTGTGGAAAGGGTATACATACAGTCTTTACAATAGCAGGTGTGTTCTACCTTTGCTATAATCTTCATGTCAGAATGTTTGCCAGGTTAGACTGGGATCATTTGCAGAATAGACTTAACAAGTCATTCCTGTTTATTGACAATGTAAGAAATAGAAATGATTGTAGCTCAGCACAGGTGCATTTCCTTGAAGAAGCGACAGATTGTAATATTCTAGTCTCTATGTGACATACATAACTGGGCTAAGCTATTTACATAACATTATGGCAGTTTCCTCACACAAAACCACACACTTTTTCTATGCTTTCACAGTCAGCGACAAGCCCAAAAGTAACAGATTTTGTTCTTCAGAGGAAAACAGTTCCATGCCATATCATTTGTATTTTCTATCCAGATAAACAGAATTCCACATCAGAAGTATTGTCCTGATTAAGCTTCAACTTGTTTGCTCTCAGGAGTTTCATAAACTCCTATGATATAGGTAGAAAGCAAAGCTACAGTGATACTGCAGAAATCTCCAGATGTCTTATTGCAGAGATGTTCAGTGGCATGGAGAGCAAATGCAAGGTTGCAGCATCAAAAAGGCCAAAGACAACAAAGCAGAGAAATGGTATTCCACACACATTCTTTAATCACATTGAAGAGGTCGTATATATCTCTATCACTATACGTATACTTGTATTTTTTAAAATAAGGATATGCAACCTTTGGTCTGACAGCCTCATTTGGCCTTTGAATGGTGTGTCATAGGCCATGCTCCAAAACATAGGTAAGCCAGGACAAAATATAAAATTAACTTATAATCAGTTTGATTCCTTATAGTCAATTTATTATTCTCCACAAATTTAATAATTCTTCCTTTAAAAATTACAGTTCAGCAGAGAGGACTCCTTTTGAGAGGTTTGGGCATGTTGTATGTCTTTGTCCTAAAGGGTATAAATGTAATGCACAATAATATTACCGTAAGATGTAGCCTATAGTCAGACATTGTTCAGAACACTTTAGTGCTATTAAATGAGATTTCTGCAAATGTTCAAAATTCAGATAGTATGGGAATTCTTGATGAATTGAATTATTTTAGCTAATCATAAGATTTCGTCATTTGGTAATAAAATCAATCCCTGCCTGCTGGGAAAAGTCATATGAATGTATCCATATGTTCTTCAAACAAACTGATGATGAAGCCAAATCCTTCCAAGTACAGGTAGTGCAAGAGTAGGACATTTGGGCCCAGGTAAAAAAATACATGAATCAGTGGAAAAGAATGTTATTTTTTTATTAGCTTACTTTTATGTACTTTTTGAGGAAAAAATACCAAAAAACCAAATAAAACAGAATGAAATATCTGCATTGCTCTATTGAACATAGTTGTGAAGTAATAGGAATTGCAACCACTGCTGTTATAAGGCACAGGAAAACATACATGCAATTCTCTAAGTGAGAAATTGGAATGGGTAGCCACTGAATTATTTCATGCCCATTAGGAACAACTCACTACTTCAAGATGGTACCTAGTAAAATCAAAGCATACCAGTTTTGAGTCAGATAACAGACCCATATATTTTATATTCCAGAGTGATGTTTTCTTCAGTTCGGCAATTCAAAGATGAAGAAAGGTTGATCATCTGCCCATGTCCTGCTTTAGTTTAATGAATTTATCTCAGTAACAGCGTTTAGATAACTAAGCTTGACACTTTCAGGAATGACAAGTATTTAGACTGTGGATGTTATAGAGAATCCAATGAAGAGTCATATTATGATTTCAATATGATTTTTCCTATAGCATAAATTTGTTCTACAGTGAGAAGCTAGAGTTTGATTTCACATGAAGATTTTTGCACAGATATTCAGTTATCATTTTTTATAATCGAGGTTTACTATCATTCTAAATGAGTGGCTTCTCCAGATATTGAATACTTTAACTAGTTATTATATCTGCATCAACTTTCCAGCTTCTCAAACAGAGCCTCAGAAAATCAAGATTAGTTGATTTCTCCCAGGCAAAAGAAACTGACAACTTCTCTCTTTCTGGAATGGCTCATATTCTTCTTGGGCCTATTGATCAGAAAGAAAACTTATTTATGCTTTCCAAGAAAGAAAGAATCTTTTCCCTTTGATATACACTGTGTGCACAATTATTAGGCAAGTTGTATTTCTGAGGATGAATTTCATTATTGAACAACTACAGTGCTCT